CCTCTGAAAATTCTATCCAAACAGACTCTGTATGTGTTACTTCAGACTTAATACCCGTTTTTATGCAACAGTTCAAGCGATCTCGGACATACAATGCCACCCCACCCCCCCCCCCAATACTTCTATCTTCTTGGAACAATTTAAAACCCTGAATATGACATTCCGCAGGCATGTCCCGACTTTTTGAATTAAACCACGTCTCAGTTAAGGCAAATACATCAATGTTACCTACACTAGCAACTAATCTCAACTCGTCCATCTTATTCCTAGCACTACGGCAATTAGCATAATAAACATTGAAAGACTCTCCTTTCTCTTTACCCTTCCTGCTCATTTCTATTTTCCTACTAAACCTATTACTGTCCTTATCACCCAAGGTCCCTGGCTTTTCAATATCTATCTCGTTCTTATTATTACTAGTTTCCCCAGAACTCGTAATATTACTACACTGGGACTTCACTGTTTTCCTGCCAAAACCCATACCACTAACTATTCCTAGTTTAAAGTCCTAACTGCTCCCTCCACTGCAGTTGCCAGTGCTTCCACCCCACACCTAGATAAGTGAACCCCATCCCTAGCATACATGTCATTTCTGCCATAGAAGAGGTCCCAGTTGTCAATGAATGTTACCGCATTTTCCTTACAGTATTTGTTCAGCCAGCAATTGACACCAATTGCCCTGGACAACCATTCACTTCCAACTCCCCTCCTTGGCAAAATACCACATATGAGAGGGTTCCCACCCTTACTTCTAATTATTTCTATTGCTGACCTATACCTGCTAATCAGGTCCTCACTCCTACGTCTGCCAACATCGTTGCTCCAGCACTGAGACAGATAATAGGATTGCTCCCATTACCTCTCATGATGTCATCCAGACGGCTAACAATATCCTCCATCCCAGCCCCAGGAAAGCAAACTCTCTGTCTCCTACTCCTGTCCTTCAAGCAGAACGCCCTATCCATATACCTAACTTGGCTATCCCCAACAACAACAATATTCTTACCTTCCTTAATGTCTTTCGTCGTGTCGTTCCCAGTAGTCAACTCACATTCGTCGGGTAGCACTGAGAATGTATTGGATGTTTCCACAACAGTTTCCACGGCAGTCTCTTTCTTCTTCATCGTTTCTACCTTTCCATTCGTCTTCTTAATCGTCAACTTCTTTCCCTGCTGTCCAGCCACTGACCAGTTTCCCTTCTTGACCTGAGGACTCAAAACAGGAGGACTACGAATCTTCTTGTTTTCCTCGGTCAATCGCCTAATTTCCAAATTCGCCAACCTCAATTCTTCCTTAAGCTGTTGGTAAAGTTGCTCGATGGAGGGCATCTTGCTTCAATTCTAGAGAGCGCGCAAACAGGTCTTCACAGAGCCAAGTACACGTCAACACGTAGTTGTGCAGAGTGCGGCATAAGTTGGTAATGCAATTACCAGAATTAGAAGAGGCATTCTTAAGTCATATGAAAACTAATATCCAAATTCTAGGAAAAAAAAATGGTGCTTTAAGCATACCACCGGGATTTCCATTAAGTTTGAAGCGCCAAAGTTGTATTTCAAATTATTCAGGGAAGGGTTTGAAGCTAATCAGACGCGAACTCAAAATTTTATAGCTTGAAAACCAGTTTTTTCATGTTTAAAATTTTTTAAAAAAAAAATGGGATCAATAAGGATAAAAAAATAAAACTTTACCCCCAAGTAAATTGATCCCCCTTTCAGAGAGCAATGGGCTTTAGTAATCTTAGTGTGCTTTAAAGTAAAAATTTTAAAAAAAGGTTTGAGTGCCAGTGTTATAGGCGATAGATATTTTGTTGCATTGCCTGGGGATAACAAAATACAGTAAAATAGTGCGCTTTTTTTATCAAAAGAGAGTTTTCTCCAATTATTTGGGGGAAAAATAAACAGTTCTAAAATTGTCAATCAAAAGTAAAAACAGTAATTTCCTTTGGGAAAACACTTGAGGCATTCAAAATTGACCCAAAAAGGAAATAAATAAACATTTCCCTTGGGATAAAGAGCCTCTCCCAGCATCAAGACAAAATAACCCAATCAGGGGACCCTGTCTCCAATCACACTAAACCCGTTTTTGGGGAAGACATGCTAACATTGAGTGAAGGTCCTACGCAGTAAATGTACCATGAATCATGCCCAAGAAATATTCCTAGCACTGATTTTTTTTTTATTTTTTCCCAGTCGAATAAGGCGTTTTTAGCAATAAAAAAAAAAATGCAAAAAAATTAAAAAAAGTGTTTGAAATGTTCCGAAAAAGTGGAGTCTCTCTTTTAAAACTTGGAAACACAAAACGGAATTTTTTTTTCCTTGTTACTTTTATTTGAAATTATCTAAAATCCTCTAAAAAAAAATGTTGATTTTGAGTTTTTTTTTTTTTTTAAACTTTTGATAAACTATTTAAAAATTGGTTATTGCCGCTACACATTAAATAAACAAAATTGCTTCCAATTAAGATCACTAGCTTTAGGGTTTGAACCCGCAGAAGGATGCTCGTTAGCCCTTTCTTTTAAAAACAATTTCTTAATAACTTGGCAACTAAAATTTAACAGTTTTAAAAGTGAGTGAAAGCTTTTTTTAAAAACCACATCAATTTTAAAAAATTTATCTATCAGAAAAGGCTTTTTCAGTAATTAATTGATTCTTCAAAAAATTTCAGTGGAGTTTAAATTTGCACAAACTTGTACTAAACTTATAGAATGCAAAAGAAATTTTTGGAACCCAAATTTAGGAATATTCATGGTGACTGAATAATTTTTCTATTCAAAAAATTTGGAAAAATGGGATTGTCCCCCCCAATAACAGCGTGAGGAAACCACACCGTGGTGAAATTTGAAGCCGATCAATATGTTTTCCTGTTACCCCAAGGTTCCAGAAAATCCCAAATTTTCTTTTTCACTTTTTTTACCACATTAACAAATTTGCCGAACTGAAGCAAAATAGAGAATATTGTCCGGGGCTTAAAAAAAATCAGCCTTTAAATTTTTTAAGCCGAAAAAATTTTAAGTTTTAAATTTAACGTGATTGTCGGCAGTAAGGGACAAACTAGTTTATAAAAAAAAAAAAACGTCAAATCTGCACCTGTTGCTTTAATTTCACTCTCCGTTGTCGAAATTTGGAGATAATTTGTCTTTAAAGTTTTAAAACTGTCACTGAGAGTTTTGAAAAATTTTCCAACCATTCCCTTTATTTTGGAATGGCCTCAACAATTTCGGTAACGGGCACGGAAAAAGCAGTTGTTCAAAAAATTTTGGTATTTTTAGGGTACGCAACGTTACAAATTTTAAGTATTTGGATGAGGTGTTCTGAGTTATGGCGAAAAAAAACTAGAAATCGAATGATTAAAAATAAAAAGGAAAAAAATAGGCAATCTCTTTTAGGGGAAACCCCCGTTAAAAAAAATCCCCAAAACGCATACTCTTGTAAAATATTTAAAAAAACGTCCCGTAAAGGAATGACATGGGTGTTTAAAAATAAGAAATTTTATTAGGTCATTTCCCACTAGGATGCAAACTGTTAAAGGGAAAAATTTACAAACCCAAAATGTATAGGATTAAGGAGTGAAGTTTTTAAAAAAAGAGTTTGATTTAATTTAAGCTATGACATCTGGCCCCGTATACGATGTGAGTGGGAAAGAAACAGGTAGAAAAAGGCGCTAAACTGTAGATCTTTTTTCCTTCCTACTCTGTTTTATATAATAATATCAGAAACTGTGATCAGTGGTGCTTCCAGATACTGTATTCTGTTCAGCTCAGATTCTGTGGAAACTAAATGAGCCTCATTCCAGCTCATCAGATGACCTGTTCCAGTAGGTTACTCAAGCATTGCTCTCCTCCAACTCGTTCAGTCTGATCTAGCTCTCGGCGGATTTTCCTTGCTATTGGTGAGGGGCTCTTGATTCAAGAAACTGGACCTACGCTTCCTTTCCCTGGATCTAGCCTGAATGCCTTCCATTTCACAGGATCTCTCTCTGACCCACCTTTACAGGTTTAGTGGTGCATTTAAATATCACCACTCAGATCGACTGGTGCCTTCCATTTTCTTTGATGTACACTTTGCAGTGTCTGCACGGGGTAGTGTAGACCCTAATATTTTGATAGGTAGAGGGTCGTTTCTTGGTTAGATCGTTGACGGATGTTATTGTCACTGTAGCCATGTTGATGTTGCTTGAACTGTGTTGTCGGCCACTTCACTCCCTGGAAGTGCTAAGTACTCAGTAGGAGTGGCGTGCATGATTGATTGAGTCTTGCATCCGCAGTTCTGGATTGTCCTCGGAGGGGACAGTAGTAGTTTTGTGAAGGCTTTTGTGATACAAGAGCACTCCCTGAATAATTCAGGACTAGGAATACAGATGGCTCTTAGGAAGGCGCCAATTACTACCCGTGTGTGCCGTGGTGAGAATAAAAGCGACAGGTCCTCCTTGTTAGTGGGCATTCTGCATAACTTGAAGGAAAGTGTTTCATTGTTCCATGCCCTGCTGAGGAGAACATCAAGAAAGGGAAGGCTGCTTTCACTTTCAGGCACCAGAGTGAATCAGACTAGCTCAACAATTTGATTGTGCCGAGGAGAGGTCATGGATATCTCAGCGTGTAGTGTAGGTGACCAAGATGTCATCCATGTACCGTTATGCAGAAATGGTGTTCGGAACGATGAAGCTTATTTTTTTTGTTTCGATGTTGTGCCTTGGTGCTGTGCCTAGCGCAGCATTAAGGCAGCTGTCAATAGTCAAGCCCAAGCAATGGTTGAAGAAACTGCCCTCGTACCTGTAAAAGCTGTCCTCGTACCTGAAACAACTGAAGTTGACAAATAGGTTAGCCGTACGAACTCTTGCCAAGTTAGTCGGAAACTGGTGTCGTTTAATACTTTCATGTAGTGACGGAGCCACATCCACGTGGGTTCTAAAGCCACCACATGCATCAAAGAAAGGATCTTCTACCTCTCCACTGGTATCTGCTGCTGGGGTCTACATACTATTTACCACACAAACGAGGTTACCGGACCTGAACGTTGTCTAACAAATGTCTTTAGTGTTCGTAGACGAGTTGTTTCCTTAACTTGTTGGTATTCTGTAACACGTTCTATATGTAATTTATTCTGAAACACAGTTAAATGTAATTTAGTCTGTAACACATTCTAAATGTAATTTTCTAAATTTCACATTATAAACACATTCTAAATCATTAATTTTAAATACATTCTTCAAATTACATTTAACGCTTCCTAAATAATATATTTTAAATCTGCTACCAGAGTAAAAATGTACAATTTGTACAAATGTACAATATGTACAAATGTCAAAAATGGTGCAATCTGAAGAAGTCTGATTTATATTGACCCATCATAGAACCCTTGATCCATCCCCTTGGAATAACCTTGACTACGTATCATTCCCCAGGCGCTGTATGGGTTTCTCCATGAATACAATAATTTCACTTCCAATTGTTTAGCAAATATCCTTAAAAAAATAATGGTATATTCACGTGACAGTGAATATAGTTGAGAGATGGCGGCTGGACAACGGTAATTTTAGTCAGAAAATACTATGAGTAGATCTGGTGTTTACTTTGGGTGAGGTGTGACCTGCAGGGTAGATGTGACCTGCAGGGTAGGTGTGACCTGCAGGGTAGGTGTGACCTGCAGGATAGGTGTGACCTGCAGAGTAGGTGTGACCTGCAGAGTAGGGTGAGTATGGCAGACATGTGGGCAAACAGCTTCGTAATTGGCTTTTGTTAATTGTTTGTGTAATGATTTAATGAAGCTTGGAGGTAGGGTTTTTTTTTGTTTGTGGTGTGCGCGTGTGCGTACTTGTGCGTGCGCGCGTGGGCATGAGTCGTTTAAGTGCCACGTTTTGGCGCTCTATTACTGCCTCTCCCTTACCCCCCCCCCACTCTGCTTCTTCCCCTCTCTGCCGCTATCTCTTCCTCTTCCAACCTTTCCCCCCTCTTTTCCCCCTCCCCCTTCCTCCATCCTCCCCCTTTCCTCCATGTTCGGACACCTCTCATGAACCACTCCACCCTGGTACTCCGTCACACAGTAAACAGGAATACAGTGGACCCCCGGTTAACGATATTTTTTCATTCCAGAAGTATGTTCAGGTGCCAGTACTGACCGAATTTGTTCCCATAAGGAATATTGTGAAGTAGATTAGTCCATTTCAGACCCCCAAACATACACGTACAAACGCACTTACATAAATACACTTACATAATTGGTCGCATTGGGAGGTGATCGTTATGCGGGGGTCCACTATACTCTCTCGTGGTCTAAATTCTGATGGCGACATTGTTATTTAACCGACTAAACCACAAAACTTTACAATAACGTAGCGTAAACTACCCAGAAAAATCTTAGATTTTTTTTTTTAAGGAACTCGAAGATTTTTCACGATCAGTCTGCGAACGCCAATTTAAATTTAGAGGTATACTAAGATACATTCTGACTATTTTTTATACCCTTCAAACATAAGGGAGGAGGGGGCCTTGATGCCAGTGAAGGGCTCTTGATCCAAGGACTTCAAGGACTGGATTTTCACCTACTTGGAACATCATACCTTACTTGGATCATAGCCTATTTTGATCAAACCTTGGATCATACCTTACTTGGATCATACTTTATGAAATCACTCCTTGGATCATACCTTACTTGGATCATACTTTTGAAATCATTCCTTGGATCATACTTTATGAAATCATACCTTGGATCATACCTTATGTTTTCTTAAACTTTTAATATTACTAAAGTAGAAACAGTGGCATCTAAGTTGAGGGGGAATTAATGGATGGAATCTAAGTTTAAGAAAACTTAAGGATATTATCCAAGTTGAACGGAAGTGATACCTGGAGTATATTATTGGAGAGGTTTTCAGGGGTCAACGCCATCGCGGCTCGGTCTGAGACCAGGCCTCGTGGTGGATCAGGGTCTGATCAACTAGACTGTTACTGCTGGCCGCACGCGAACTGACGTACGAACCAAAGCCCGGTTGGTCAGGTACTGACTTCAGGTGCCTGTCCAGTGCCTTCTTGAAGACAGCCAGGGGTCTATTGGTAATCCCCCTAATGTATGCTGGGAGGCAGTTGAACAGTTTAGGGCCCTGGACTTATTGTGTTGTCTCTAAGTGTACTCGTGGTGCCCCTGCTTTTCATTAGGGGAATGTTGCATCTCCTGCCGAGTCTTTTGCTTTCATAGGGAGTGATTTTCGTTTGCAAGTATGGTACTAATCCCTTTAGGATTTTCCAAGTGTATATTTTCATGTATCTCTCTCGCCTGCGTTCCTGGGAATACAAATCAAGGGCCTTCAACCGCTCTCAGTAATTTAGGTACCATATCGGTCTTAGGTGTGCCATGAAAGTTCGTTGTACACTCTCCAGGTCAGCAATTTCTCCTGCCTTGAAGGGGCAGTTAGTGTACAGCAATATTCCACCCTAGAGAGAACAAGCTATTTGAAGACCGTCATGGGCTTGGCGTCCCTAGTTTAGAAGGTTCTCATTATTCATCCTATCGTTTTCCTAGCAGATACCGTAGATTGTTGTGGTCTTTGAAGGCGAGATCCTTTGAAATTATAACTCTCAGGTCCTTCACATTAATTTTTCGCTCAATTGTATGCTTAGAATTTGTCGTATACCCTGATACAGTTTTAATTTCCTCAAGTTTTCCATATCTGAGTAGTTGAAATTTCTCTTTATTGAACTGCATATTGTTTTGAGTGGCCCACTTGAAGATTTGGTTGACGTCCGCTTGGAGTCTCTCGTTGTCTTCGATGGAGGTCACTGTCATGGCAATCCGGGTGTCATCCGCAAAGGAAGACACGGAGCTATGGCTTACGTTTCTGACTATGTCAGATATGAGGATGAGAAATAGAATGGGAGCGAGTACTGTGCCTTGTGGAACAGAGCTTTTCACCGTAGCTGCCTTAGACTTTACTCTGTTTACTAATACTCTTTGTGTTCTATTTGTCAGGAAGTTATAGATCAATCTAACTTTCTGTTATTCTTTTATCACGCATTTTGTGTGCTATTACACCATGGTCACGCTTGTTAAAAGCTTTTGCAAAATCTGTGCATACTACATCTGTATTGTGTTTATCCTCTACAGCATCCAGGACCTTGTCATAGTGGTCCAGTAGCTGGGACAGGCATGAGCGATATGCTCTAAACCGGTGATGCCCTGCGTTGTGTAACTGATGGGTATCTAGGTGGTTGGCGATCTTGCTTCTTAGAATAGAACCCAATCAAAGATTTTTATGATTTGGGATGTTATTGCTATAGGATGGTATCCCAGGTGAACGGATGTGGTGGATGTTATCCCAGGTGAAAGGAAGTGATTGACTGTATCCTAGTTGAAGGAAACATGTCGGTGATATCCCGTATGAAAAGAAATGTAAGGATGGTACTCCGGTGGAAGAATGAAATACTTGTGCAACGTTTGGGAATGCTAATTGAGGAGACATTTCGCCCGCCAGTAGGAGGGAACTTAAGAATGGCATCCCAGTGGAAGGGAACTTAGGGCTGTTATCCAAGTGGAAGGGAACGTAAGCCTGTTATCCCAGTGGAAAGGAACTTTAGGATATCCCAGCGGAAGGGAACCTAAGGATATCCCAGTGGAAAGGAACTTAAGGATGTTATCTAGTTGAACGGAAGTTAATAAAGGTATGCCAGTGTAAGGACTCAGAAGTACACTTGAGGACAGGTAAACCAGTGTAAGGACTCGGAAGTACACATGAAGACAGGTATTAGACCACACTGCAGGTAAATAATCAGCTTTTGGGACTAGTTAATTTTTGTTTAATGTCCATTTGCTCAGATTTTCTGACAGTTTTTTTTTTTCAAAAAAATTAATTAGTTGAGATAAATGAGCAATTATCAACAGATAATTAGCTACTGTTGGTGGTAAGAAAGTTATCCAACATGGCGATCACTGTCTTCATTACTCACAAATAATTTTGGTCATGTTAGGTTTGAATTAATAGTTATTTTCAATGTCACAAAAAAGAGAGAACGCATCCAGTGCTTAAATTCTCGTGTACATCACATACAAATATCCTAAAATACACAGCATATGTATTCACCTATTTGGGTTTGCAGCTCCTGGCCCCGCCTCTTTGCTAGTCGGTACTAGGTCCACTGTCTCCAAGAGCCTTATCGATCATACCTCTTCTTAAAGATATGTATGGTTCCTGCTTCCACTACACTTTCCAGATTGTTCCCATTCCTGACAACTCAAAGGCTTAAGATATTCTTCCTAACATCCCCATGACTCACCTGATTTTTAACTTCCAGTTGTGTCCCCTTGTTTTTGTGTCCCATATCTGAAACATGCTGGTCCTATCCATCTTGTCAGCGCCTCTCAGTATTTTATACATCGTTATCATGTCCCCCCTATCCCTCCTGTCCTTCAGTATCATCAGGTTGCGTTCCTTTACCCTATACTCGCAGAACATACCCCTTAGCTCCAGGACTAGTCTGGTTGCAAACATTTGCACTTTGTCCAATTTATTGACATGTTTGAGAAGTTCCAGACTGGTGCTATGTATATGGTGTGTGTGTGCGTGCGTGCGTGTGCACGCGCGTGTGCGAGCGCGTGAGTGCGTACATGTACACGTGAGTGCGTGCTTGGATGTGCACACGCTGTTTCATATCAGTACCCAAGCTTACGTTTACATTCCATACAACCATGGCAAAACACACACACAGGGTCACTGGCAGCCAGAATAATGACAACACGTCACAAACATTTCATCACGGCACAAAAGAGGGATAAATTCAATAGTTGGCATTATTGAGTGCCATAACAAAGGCAGAGGGTAGCGTGGCACACCCAGCAGGTGCCAATCTACCTCAATGAAATCCATCCACTGCTGTCCAAAATATTAATTGTCCCTACTGATAGGAGAGCCAGGCCAGTATTGTATGTGTACACAGTACTTTATCATCATTAGGAAGATATGACTTGCCAGCAGGAGCTGGAGTCGCTCACACACACACTGGATATAATGTTCCTGCGGGTACTGAAGGTTATTACGCTCAACTTACACAGGATATCACATTCCACCAAGTACTGGAGTTTTCCAACACTTTTTTTCTGGATGCGACCCAAAACAGGCCGCTAGTACACAGGTTCTTATTTTTGCTACTAGGTGGCGAGGTACATTTCTTTTAATTGGATGCTACTATCCTAATCTTCTTGATAGTTACACAAGTTAGCTTATGTTATCGTGTCATGTTCCATCACACTGTGGTTCACACAAGGTGTTTAAATCTTTTAGTATCAGCTGGGAGTCTTCAGTAGGGCAATGAGGATATTGTCAAGCATTTCAGCAAGGATTCTTCAGCTAAGGGAAATTAAGAGATTTCGTTCCTGCAGAGCTGCAGTTACTATCACTTGGAATTGCCAGCTGTAAGGACAGCCTACTCCATACACAGGAGAAATAAAAATTTTCTGATGATATATCTATCATCCCGGAGCTGGTCAAGAAAAATTCTTCACAGGAGGCAAAAGAAAGAGAAAGGGATGAAAGAGAGGAATAGAAATATGCATGCCATAAGATATATATCCCTCCCCTTCCCTCACATTCACACGCCAAACGGGCGAACTTTTAACAAACATTAACTATCGGTCCACAACAGGATTCGAACCTGCACACTGTGCATCAAAGTACACAGTACTTTCCCCACTCAGGTAGATCCCAGTGGCAAACGTACTGTGTTCTTTGATACAGTGTAAGTTCGAATAATATATATATATATATATATATATATATATATATAATATATATATATATATTATATATATATATATATATATATATATTATATATCAGGACAAGCTACGGGGGTGGAAATCTTTAGCTCAAGTACTTTCACACTTCTCAGTGCGTCATCAGGAGCTGTGAAATGTTGCAAGGGAGCCGGTTTGTTGATCATATATATATATATATATATATATATATATATATATATATATATATATATATATATATATATATATATGCAATAAGATCACAGTAAACAGGTGATTTCAGAACAACCACTGTGAAAGAATATAAAAATTCCAAGTGCTTTCGTGACTACTCATATTATCAAGGAACAATGAAAGTAATGCATCAAAGGAAGGCATATAAAGGGTCTAGCCCACACCTCACTATCACATCCCACAACAAAGCAACACCTGACGCGCGATTCGTAAGAAAGGGAACACTGCAGCAGGCCCATTGGCCCAACTAGACAGGTCCTTCACACAACCCACCAACAAACTATTCTACCCAAGAATTAAGAATTTTAAAATTTATTATTTGTCCAATGTATTACTAAATTATTCCCAAATTATATTAATTATAAATGGGTCTAATTTATATAAACCAAAGGAAATATTCATATTATTGTCAAAACTGCTTTTTATGAAACAAGATTCAGTTATATTCCTGTCAACCATGGACTTGCTTGATACAACTTCCTCAACTTTTTGATAATCAATTATCAATTGGATGGTTGAACTCTCTCACATGAATAAATAGAGCATTGGAATCTTGTCCAGTTCTAATGCTATATTTGTTATTTTAATCTTAGTTCAAGATTTTTACCAGTTTGACCGTAATAAACTTCATCGCAAATTTTACAAGGAATCTTAGACACATCCGTCAGCATTTTGGGGGGAATTCTTTATCAAAAGTTTTTTTTTTACTGTATCAAGATTTTTAAATACAACTTTGATATTGAAAGTCCCCTTTACCGGGCAGGACCGAGTATACTCGGTCCTCTAAACGTGGTTTTTTTTGCGCACGTCCTCCGACTCCCTCAGCGCATCTAGGTTCCCGTTCTCTATTTCTGACCAATCACAGACCTTCCCTGAGTCGCCCCAGCCGAGCGGTGATGGCGGCTGCCCACTTCCCATTGGTCGAGAGAGCAGAATGTAAACACTTCTACCTTGCTGGCGCCAAAACTCGTGTTTCTCGGTTGAGTGCTCCTTATATACTGAAGCATTTCACCCAATACAATGTCAGTAAGTACTGATTTGTGTGTCTAGTGCGTAAATGAATAGTTTAGCCATATTTTGATATATATGAAGGCGTTGTGAAGCATATTACGAGTGCACCATGCAAATGAAAAAAGTGCAACAAAATAGGACCAAGTACAGTCATTCCTGCCCTTTTAGGTGCAGTTTTCAAGTTTCGGTATATAAATATTTCCATAAAATTTGGTAGTGTATATATGAATTCAGTAATGGTTTGGGTGTGTACAGAATGTTTTTATTGTCCTTCCAGATCAATAAGAAATTGTTCTACGGTGAGTCCTCCAAGGATAAGTCGAAATTTGTCTGTGTTTGGGACGATAGTGACTCAGATCAAGACCCAGATGACCTGGATTTGCTGGATAGTGAGGATGAATGCTTGCCACCAGATGCAGAGGTGTCAACAGATGAGGAGGAGGAAGCTGGGCCGCCACCAAAAAAAGCAAAAATTGAACAAGAGGAAGAAACATATTACTGTGGAGGAATACCCTGATGAAGAAGTGCTTCAAGATGATCTTGCTTCTCAAGGAGACACCCAATGGAAGAATGAGGACATCCAGATTGACCCTTTGCCTAAATATCAACATATAAAGCCTGTTGAAGTTAAGTGTGCATATGATTATTTTACAGACTTTTTTACTCAAGACATGATAGACAACATTACATTTCAAACTAATTTGTATGCCAGGCAAAAAGACATACATACTACTTTTCAAACAGATAGGATAACTCAGGTTAGGTTTAGGTTGCTGAGGTGTACCATTCATTTCAATGATAACACACAAAAGAAGGATAATGACAGATTCCACAAAATAAGGCCTCTTTACACTGCACTAACTAAAGCTTGCTTGAAAGTTCCAGCAACACCCAAGCAGTCTGTTGATGAAGTTATGGTTGCTTTCAAGGGTAAAACAGCTGGAAACCTAAGGCAATACATCAAAAACAAACCAGACAAGTGGGGTTTCAAACTCTTCTGTCATGCCAGTGAAGATGGAATCATACATGATATACTGATGTATCAAGGTAACCCAGCTTTTGAGAAACATCACATAAAGCTGCCAAATGAAGAAAGTAACCTCCCAATGAGTTCCAGGATTGTTCTTGTACTTGCAGCATCTCTCGACCAAAGAAAAACATCAGGAGTCTATTCTGATAATTTCTTTTCAAGTCTACCTTTGGTCAAGGTACTGAGAGACAAGTATAACTGCAGGTACACTGGAACAATACGTGATAATAGATGTGGTAAGCCACAACTGATGCCTGTGAAAGAAATGCAAAAGAGTAATGTGGCCAGGTGCAATTTTGGTTTCCAAAGCAATGATGATATCCTTCTTGTAAGATGGAAGGACAACAAAGTTGTGACTCTAGTCACAAATGAAGTCGGAGTTTATCCTTTGAGTCTTATTGAAAGATATGACAAGGCATCAAAGAAGAAAGACCACTTTGAGTGCTCAGGCATCATCAAGAACTACAATGCAAACATGGGAGGTATCGACAAAAGTAACATGTTGGTCCATCTTTACAAAACACCAATGAAATCAAAGCGTTGGTACATGCGGCTCTTTGCTTATGTTCTGGATGTTGCTGTTGTGAATGCATGGCTTCTTTACTGTCGTGATTGTAGGTCACTAAACATGCCATGCACACCACTGAAGCTATTCAGGCTTGAGATCTCTGTCACTGCAAGATCCAAAGGACAAAAGGTCAACTGCACCAGCATGAGACGAAGTCGAGATTCACCCAGTACTTCTTTGGTTGACAGTAATGACGATTTGTCAAACGTGTAATACCCATCTGCATTTCAGTACCAACGTGCAGAAAGGCCAGATGACAGTGTGAGGTTGGATAAACAGCTAGGTCACTGGCCAGTGCTAGGTAATCTGCTTTCATGCAAGTTTTGCAGCAAAAAGAATAATCATGTCACATCCTCATTTTGCTGTGCCATATGTAAAGAAAATCTGTGCATAAAGAAGGATAGAAATTGTTTCATGAAGTTTCATTTGCGAAATTAGTGATGTGAAATGATTGTTCTTTCTCAGGGAACTCAGGAATATTTCATTTGTAAGTTGCATCCCATTGCAATGTGTCATTGTTGATAAGTAGTTCCTATTTCTATCTTTTTACTGCTTACAAATTGTTCAGAAACAAGTTCCATTTATGTTTTTTTATATTGTCTACTTGTATAATAAATTTAAAAAATATTTATTTCGTTTTTTTACAACAATTGCAACATTGCAACATTCAAAAATGGTATACCCCAAACGGGCAGGACCGAATATACTCGGTCTTCGAATATCTGCAATTGCGCGAGATGTTACTTTCACAACTCCGTTTGGATGGTCTCAGTGACCTTACATCGAGTGGCTCTATCCCCTCATAGGAAATCACTTTCAAATTCACACTTTAGACTGCCTTGCCCCCTGAAGGGTAAGAAGAGAAGGCGTATCAATCAAGTTTTCATTGTAAGGGAGAACCAACATATTTTTAGTTGAATAAGGCTGATTGTCCCTTTTTTAATTGTAAAAAGTATTTCTAGCAATTTTAAAAGATTTATCACTTACGTTTCTTGGGTATTTCAAATCATTATCTGTTTCACATATTTTGGATATTTCCTCATCTATGAACTCTGGACTACAAACACGTAAAGCTCTCAAAAACATTGATGAGAGTTAAACTGTCTGTTTTCTCATCAATGTTTTTGAGAGCTTTACATATTTGTAGTCCAGAACGAGTGGTACTGATCAATAACAAGACTGCATTAGCCAAGGACTCGAACCCATGCTGCTTTGGCCTGCCTCATGGTGGGCGAAAACATATGACGCCTTTATCCACTGGGCCATACAATCCTTAAGAGTAGCGCATCCAAAGGAACTGAATGTTGTACTCGCTACTCAAGTACACAGGATCGTATGGATGACTCTAGGCTAATTTTATTCTAGTCCCTGTTTGGTGTACTAATCCAGTGGATAAAGGCGTCATGTGTTTCCTCCCACCATAAGGCAAGCCAAAGCAGCATGGGTTAGAGTCCTTGGGAAGTGCAGTGTTGTTATTGATCAATATCACTCGTTCGTGGTCACAATAATATAAAATACTGCTCGTTGAACTAGTACACCAAACATCGACTAGAAAGAAATTAGCCTAGAGTCATCCACACAATCGCGTGTCCTTGGGTAGTGAGTAAAACATTCAGTTCCACTGGATGCGCTACTCTTAAGGATCATATGGTCCAGTGGATAAGGGCATCATGTGTTTTTGCCCACCATGAGGCAGGCCAAAGCAGCATGGGTTCGAGTCCTTGGCTAGTGCAGTGTTGTTATTGATCAATACCACTCGTTTGTGGTCACAATAATATACATATATATTATATATATATATATATATATATATATATATATATATATATATATATATATATATATATATTACATAAGCAACCGAACTCCTTCAGATCCTCTTCCAAACTTTGTGCCTTTGCCTCCGCAGCAGCAGCAGTCCGTCTCTCCCATTCCCTCTTGTCTATAGATATCTTCTCTACATTCTCCATCGTCTTGCAAAACTCAGGAAACTTTATTTCAAACTGCTGGTTTATCTTGCACTTATGCCCTGCAACCATTAACTCCCTGTCAGTCCATTGTTCCTCTGATTCTCTTCCTCTTCTACCTGACTTGAGTTCCCATTTCTGCGCTCATCAGGCTCCTGAGATGCAGTAACTTCCTGGGACTGCAGCTTAGTGGTGGCAAACCTTCAGTCCCCATCTCTTTCTCTGTATAGACAGCTCTGTACAGGTTCACAGAGTTGAGTGTGTGTGTTTGTGTGTGCACGAGCGCGTGTGTATGTGAGTGTGCATACACATGAGTGTGAGTGTACATCTAATTGTACATGCACGTGAGTGCGTTCGTTAATGTGCGAATGTTTCCGTATGTGTACGCAAGTATACGTGTTTGCGCATGTCTGCTTGTGTGTGTGCGCGCGCGTGTGCGTGGGTGCGCATATATGCATATGAGGGCGTGTGTGCGAGTATTGTGTTCGAGGGTGTGTTTGCAAGGGCGTGTGCGCGCGCATGCATGTTTGTGTGCATGTGTAAGTGCACAAGTGTGCAAGAATGTGTGTGTGAGTGAGAGAGCCACTGTTTGCTAGTTATATTTCATCACGCTGCTTCCTAGCTCTCCACCCTCTGTAATGGCTATATGAGTCTGTCTCACTCATATTGCTATTACACTATATTCCTATTATAGTACATTCCTATTATAGGCTTCCCCAACGTATCCCCTGGCATTCAGGGCTTACTCTTACTTATCCCCTGGCACTCAGAGGAAATGTGAGTGATCTTTTCACATGTAGCTAAAGGCAAAAAACTGAAAAGCCGAAAACAACCGGCCAAATTGCACCTATGTACAGGTGTTTGTTGTACGTCTGGCTGTAGGTAGGGCAAAGCTCCACCCTCAGGTCTTGTGGTATATCTCCTGATGTATAGTGTACAACAGATGTCTATACATTATATTTTCTCTTATTTACATTCCACTCTGTCACTGTGTGCGTGTGTGTGTGTGTGTGTGGTGTGTGTGTGTGTACTCACCTAATTGTATTCACAGGGGTCGAGACTCTGCTCCTGGCCCCGTCCCTTCACTTATCGCTACTAGGTCCTCTCCCTCTCTGCTTACTGAGCTTTATCATACCTCTTCTTAAAACTATGTATGGTTCCTGCCTCCACTACACTTGCTAGGCTATTCCACTTCCTGACGACTCTATGACTGAAGAAATACTTCCTAACGTCCCTGTGACTCGTCTGAGTCTTCAGCTTCCAATTGTGACCCCTTGTTTGTGTCCCCTCTCTGGAACATCCTGTCTCTGTCCACCTTGTCTATTCCCCGCAGTATCTTGTA